CCGGCTTGATCCTGCCGAGGAAGTCCAGGGAAGCAAAGGGATGGGGTGGGAGCTGTGCTGATAAGGAGCAGCCTCCTGTGCTCCCCATTAGCCTCTCGCCTTTCCCTCGCTAACCTCGGATGTGGCTGGGGCAGGAAGCGGCGCCCGGCAGAGGCAGGGCAGCCTGTAGTGCATCTGCAGCGTAACGCCGACCCACGGGCTTCTGCGGTGCCAAGAACCCCATTAGTGCCTGCACCGGCCCCCACCGCTGCCACCAGCGCCTCTCAGCCTCCAGCAGCCCATTTCGGAGCCAGCTCCTCTCTGCAGGGATTTTACCCTGGCACCCTTTGCCTTTAATCATAGCCAAACCCTCGCTCCTGTGGGATCTCCCTGGGAGAGGGTTTTGCCAGATCTGGTAACCCCAAACCCCAGCACGTGGGGTCAGCGGGCACAGGGTTCAGGGTCTCTCTTCCGCAGGACCTGCCATCCCTACGCGTATCCTCCCACGGTGGCCGCCTGCGATGAGGGGAGACAGAGAGTGAGGAGCCCCCAGCCCCCACATGAACCCCTTCCCGTAAGTGCCTCTGGTTTGCTCTGGCGCGCGCGGGGTTCGGCTCGCTCCCAGCTGTGCTGGTGCTAAATGGCCCCTCTTTAATATTTGATTCCCTCTAAGTGCTTGCGCAGTCCCATGCTGGCCAGCTGAGGCAGCTCCGAGCAGGGCGGCACCCAGCTGCTCAGCCCCCGAACCCGTCCCAGCATCACTGCTGGTCCTGGGGCAAAGCCCCTGTGTCCCCAACCCTGCCTGCAGCGAGCAGTGGGTGAGAATCTGGGTCACGGTTGCACCGGAGCAGGAGGGGAGGAGAGGATGGGGAGGGGATGTGGGTGACAGTGGGGTTTGAGGTGCGCAGCACGGGGCTGCTGGGGCTGGTGCATCCTTGCCCAGCCACGATCACACCGCGGGGAGATCCCCTCTCTGGTCGCTGTGGGGAGGGGGGTCGGATCCTGCTGCACCAAGCCGGATGGCAGCCAAGGGCATTCCATGGCTGTGAGTCTTTGGGTGATGCGGGCAGCAGGGCGGCATTATACCGTGGGGTCCTGGTGCCCGGCCACGCTGGAGCAAGCACAGGGACAGAGAGGATGGGGGATGGAGGACCGAGCCGTGGCACCCACGTGGCATCACTGTGGGACAGGAGGGGAGGAATTTGCCACCTCCCAGGGAGAAGAATCCCAGGGGTTGCAGGAAAGGCTGGTGGTTCCTCGGGGACCCAGAACTGTCACACCGAGGCCTGACCGCATGTCTCAAGGGGACTGATGCCTTTGGGGCCACCGCTGCCGTCCCTTGGGGACTGGAGAAAACAAACAGTGGCAAGTTTTCGCTCTTGTCTCATGGAAAACGCCGCCGCCATCCTCGCACTGCGGCAGTGAATCACTGCCACACTCTGCCAGCTGCCCGTGCGAGGACAGGGATGGCGACAGGGACGTGCCCCAGCCACCACACAGCAGACATGGGGGCTGACGGTGCAGCCGGTGATGGAGGCAAGAGTGGGGTGCTGCTGTGCCGGATGGGTGCCAGCGCCCTCAGCCCTGCAGCCCGCCTGCATGCGGCCCCAGAGGAGCATGTTGCAATGCCGGGGGCCGGAGAGGGGGTGGTGAGTGGGGGGGTGCCAGGCTGCCGTACACGGCACAGGGCTCGCCCGGGACATGGGGACGCAGAGCAGGGATGGATGCAGGACCAGCTGATGGGTTTGGCACTGATCGGGGTTGGCTTGAGGTTTGACCTGGGGACGGGGACAGAGGGCAGGTGGCAGTGCCACCCTGTGTGAGGAGAAGGCAGGGGTGCCAGGACCTCCATGGCGAGGGAGCACTGCAGTGGGGTCTTTGCAGAGGCAGTGGGCTGGGGTACAGCTGGGCAGCCCACGGGGGCCACCGCGCCAGGGACGGTGTCAGCCAGCGGTGAGGGGATGGGGAAGACAGGGTAGCAATGACATCCACAGCCTGGAGAAATGGGTTGCAAGAGGAAGAGGAGGGGTCTGGTCCCTGCTGTCACCATGCCTCTGCCTCATCCCACATCACCCCCTTTGCAGCCTGGACTAATTAGCAATGGAGGTGGCAGCCCTGGGCTTTTCCAGATGCCGGATGCTTCCCGGCCCCGGGTCACTGCCCAGCAAGCCAGCGTGGCATCAACCGCCTGCCCACGACCGCAGCTGTCCTCGTGCACCCCACCACATCCACCGGGCCAACGTCCCAGTGAGAAACCCTTGACTCCAGCTGCGGTGGGGCCATGGAGGGGAGAACAGGGATGTCACACGTGCAGGCCAGCTGTGGGGGCCACGGCTGTGGGTTGGCCACGGTGTCGGCACCAGGAGGTGCAGCACACGACTCCAGGCATGGACGTGCCATCCCGTGCCTCAGTTTCCCCTGCAGGAAAGGAGGTCTCTCCCTATTGAGACAGAAGTGCAGAGAGGAAGGAGCAGGGATGGGAGAGGGTGTCAGGATCAGGCCATTGTGCAGCCGCCCTGTGCCTGTGAGAGCACCCCATCCTTCAGAGCAGGTCCCCCCTGCCACCGCAGAGGGCAGATGTCCTCAGGGGTGTCTGGCCATGTCTGCCCCAGGGTGGGAGGAAGCCAGTGCCATCAGAGCCAATCTGCCAGTGCCGCGCTTCTCCAAACACCCACCGCGCCGGATTAGCCCCATGGCAACAGCCCCATGTGGCTCGCGGCGGGGGACGGTTAATCCCGGCCAGCTGCGGGGCTGGGGCCCTCCCTGACCGCTGCTACTGCTGCATCCAGAGTGGTGCCAGCCCGGCACGTGCTGTGGTGTCCACATCTCCATGTTTGCAGGCTCACGGTGGGCGATGGGTGGGCTTCACTACGGGGCCCAGCCCTAAACCCCCCTCCTTGTCCCTGCAGGGCAAGGCGGGATCAGTGCCGGCACCAGAGGGGGGCACACGCCATGGAGCTGAGCCAGAACGGTGCCTGAAGCCACCGGAAGGAGCAAGATGGGGTGGGGGGATATGGAGCCCCCCAACGGCAGCACAGCCAGCCAGTCAGACACGTGCTTCGGGGTGTTCAACGCCAGTGATGGCCGTGACACTGCACAGAACAGCATCACCTCTCCCTGGTTCTCCACTGCCTTTGGCCTCATTGGCCTCTGCTCCAACCTCTTCGCCCTCTGCGTCCTGCTCAGCTCCTCCCGTAAGCTGTCCAGCCGGGCCCGCTCCTCCTTCCTCATCTTCCTCTGCGGGCTGGTGGTCACAGACTTCATGGGGCTGCTGGTGACGGCCTCGGTCATCATCCCCTACCACTTCATCAAGTTTGCCTGGGCCGAGGTGGACTCCAGCTGCCACCTCTGTAACTTCCTTGGCTTCTCCATGGTCTTCTTCGGACAGTGCCCACTGCTGCTGGGGGCCACCATGGCTGGGGAGAGGTTCTTTGGCATCAACCACCCCTTCTCCCGCTCCGCCAGCATCTCCAAGCGCCGCGCCTGGTCCATCGTGGGGCTGGTGTGGGGCTGCCCCTGCCTGCTGGGGCTGCTGCCAGTGCTGGGGCTGGGGCGGTACACGCTGCAGTACCCTGGCTCCTGGTGCTTCCTCACCCTCTTGCCCGACACCGGTGATGTCATCTTCTGCCTGCTCTTTGCCCTGTTGGGCATCTTCTCGGTGCTGCTCTCCTTCATCTTCAACACAGTCAGCGTGGTGACACTCTGCCGTGTCTACCATGACCGGGAGTCCGTGCAGCGGCGCCGAGACAGCGAGGTGGAGATGATGGTGCAGCTCGTGGGCATCATGATCATCGCCACCATCTGCTGGATGCCCCTCCTGGTGAGGCCCTGGGTCTTGGTGTTCCCCCCTCCATGTCTTTCCTGGCTCTTGCTTTCCCCCCATGCAGTTCCTGGGTGAGGTCCCAGGCCTCGGAGTGTTCTTCATGACATGTTCCTGCTGGTGAGGTCCCAGGTCTGGGGATGTCCCTCCTGGGTTTCAGTGTCCCCTGCCACCACTCTGCACCCTGGGTTGGCACCTGAGTGATGGGTCTGGGGCTCAGCACCGCTCACAGACAGAGCGGGTGCTCCCCAGCAGCAGGTGCCCCAAACCAACCTGGGACCCCTCTCCAAGAGGCTCGATGCCCAGTCTGGACCCTCATCGTCCCCCCACCCCGGGGCAGCTCATGGCCTCTGTGTGGATCCCCCACTGGCTGACACCTT